GATGCCCAGCAGTGACCAGCGGTGGTCAGCAGTCAGTGGATGGTCAGCGGTCAGTAGGCGTGGTTGGACACGAACAGGAGATGGTCAGTGGATGGTCAGTGGATGCCCAGCAGTGACCAGTGGCGATCAGTGGTCAGCGGTCAGCGGTCAGTAGGCGTGGTTGGACACGAACAGGAGATGGTCAGCAGGAGGTCCATGGGTGGTCAGTGGATGCCCAGCAGTGACCAGTGGCGATCAGTGGTCAGCGGTCAGCGGTCAGTAGGCGTGGTTGGACACGAACAGGAGGTGGTCAGTGGATGGTCAGTGGATGCCCAGCAGTGACCAGTGGCGATCAGTGGTCAGCGGTCAGCGGTCAGTGGTCAGTAGGCGTGGTTGGACACGAACAGGAGATGGTCAGCAGGATGTCCATGGGTGGTCAGCAGTGGTCAGCAGTGGTCAGCAGGAGGTCCATGGGTGGTCAGTGGATGCCCAGCAGTGACCAGTGGTGGTCAGCGGTCAGTAGGCGTGGTTGGACACGAACAGGAGGTGGGCAGCAGTGGTCAGCAGGAGGTCCATGGATGGTCAGTGGATGCCCAGCAGTGACCAGCGGTCAGCGGTCAGTAGGCGTGGTTGGACACGAACAGCGACTCGCTGGCCGCCGCCCCCGCGGTGCCACTCGGGGTGTACTTGCCCTGGCACGCCAGGGAGTTGGCCTGGGGACAGAGGGGACACGGGGACATCAGGGGACAGCAGGGGACATTGGGGGTCTGGGGATATTTGGGACATTTGGGGACCCCAGGGGTGTTGGGGACACTCAGGGTGTTGGGGACATTGGGGACACTCAGGGTGTTGGGGACACTCAGGGGACATTGGGGGTCTGGGGACATTGGGGACATCAGGAGACATTGGGGACATTGGGGACATCAGGGGACAGTGGGGACATTGGGGACGCTCAGGGAATTGGGGACAGTGGGGACACTGAGGGCCTTGGGACAGTGGGGACATCAGGGGACATCCCAGGGTGTTGGGGACATTGAGGACATCAGGGACACTCAGGGGACATTGGGGGCCTTTGGACATTGGGGACATTGGGGGCATTGGGGACATTGGGGACATTGGGGACATCACGGGGTGTTGGGGACATCAAGGGTGTCAGGGGCATTAGGGAGATTTGGGGACATCAGGAGTATTGGGGACACTGGGGACACTGGGGACATTGGGGACATTGAGGACATCAGGACCTTGGGGACATTGGGGACCCCAGGGCTCTTGGGGACAGTGGGGACACTCGGGACTTAGGGACATTGGGCACCCCAGGGCTCTTGGGGACATTGGGGACCCCAGGGCTCTTGGGGACATTGGGGACACCCAGGATGTTGGGACATTGGGGACATTGGGGGCATTGGGGACATTGGGGACATTGAGGACATCAGGACCTTGGGGACATTGGGGACCCCAGGGCTCTTGGGGACATTGGGGACACCCAGGGTGTTGGGACATTGGGGACATTGGGGACACTCAGGGTGTTGGGACATTGGGGACAGTCAGGACTTTGGTGAGGTGCCCCCAAGTCCCTGAGGTGTCCCCAAGTCCCTGAGGTGTTCCCAGTGTCCCCAAGACCCCAAAGGTCCCCCAATGTTCCCACCTCACCCTCTGAACCACCTCAGATGTGTTCCCACCTCTCCATGGCTGACCCAACTCAAGGAACACCCAATACCCCTCCATGTCTCCAATGTCCCCTGTGCCACCAATGTCCCCGAGGTGTCCCCAAGGTCCCCAAGACCCCAAATGTCCCCACCTCACCCTCTGAACCCACCTCAGACGTGTTCCCACCTCTCCATGGCCGACCCAACTCAAGGAACACCCAACACCCCTCAACGTCCCCAGTGTCCCCAAGTCCCCTCAATGTCCCCAAGTCCACTCAACGTCCCCAAGTCCACTCAACGTCCCCAAGTCCCCAATATCTCCAAGGTGTCCCCAAGACCCCAAAGTGTCCCCAAACCATCCCCACCTCACCCTCTGAACCCCCCTCAGATGTGGCTTCCATCTCTCCATGGCTGACACAACTCAAGGAACACCCAACGTCCCCCAATGTCCCCAACACCCCCCAGTGCCACCAATGTCCCCAAGGTGTCCCTGAGGTGTCTCCAAGGTGTCCCCAAGACCCCAAACCATCCCCACCTCACCCTCTGAACCCCCCTCAGATGTGGCTCCACCTCTCCATGGCCAACCCAACTCAAGGAACACCCAACGTCCCTCCATTACCCCAAGACCCCCCAATGGCCCCACATCCCCCCAACGCCCCCAACACCAAGACCCCAAACCGTCCCCACCTCACCCTCTGAACCCCCCTCAGACGTGTTCCCACCTCTCCATGGCCGACCCAACTCAAGGAACACCCAACGTCCCCAACACCCCTCAATGTCCTGAAGTCCCCAGTGCCACCAAGGTGTCCCCAAGGTGTCCCCAATGTCCCAAAGACCTCACGAGACCCCAAAGTGTCCCCACCTCACTTCCTGAACCCACCTCAGATGCGGCTCCTCTGCTCCCACCTCTCCATGACCAACCCAACTCAAGGAACACCCAACGTCCCCAACACCCCTCAATGTCCCCCGTGTCCCCAGTGCCACCAAGGTGTCCCCAAGGTGTCCCCAAGGTCCCCAAGACCCCAAACGTCCCCAAAGTGTCCCCATCTCACCCTCTGAACCACCTCAGATGCGGCTCCCACCTCTCCATGACCAACCCAACT